AAGAGATGAAGAAGGGAAGCTGACAGGTTTTCTACTCCTTGGAGCAATCATGGTGACTGCTGTCACCCTGCGTCCAGCGCCGGCACAGATCTAAAGTGTGGGGATGGTCTGTCTCTGAGTCTACTGTCTTCCTAACACGACTGCCAGACCCATCACAGTGAAGTTGTGACAGTTCCGCAGACACACACTTAAGGCGTCACAGGAGTAGTGGAGTAGAGACGTTATTTCAGGAAGTGCTGTGGGACATTTTTCCTGTGTCTGCCTGGTGTTTTAGTGACTTGCTGTTTGCTGCAGAGGGGGTGGCAAACATCAATTTTGGTATCAGATTTTACCCAGCCACTTTTTTTAATGACTACAATTGAAAATTACGAATCAACTCCTACCCACAAAGTTATCTAGAGTTTTGTTTATTAGTGTTTACATTCTCACTCCCAACTCGTCCTATATTGACGTTATGTCAGGATCACCATGATTTTGAAGGACTGAACAAAACCACATGGACATTATAACCAATATTTTCTGGGGAAATAATGTACAAATTAAAACGAGGTAAGTTTAGCTTAACATTCGCTGCTGCTGCTTAGCTGTGAACTTTATCTGGAAGCCCACACTGGCAGTGATGAATAAAGCTGGCATTGATTTGTGGTGTGGTACTTTATTTATCTTATCTGTTTTGTGTAATGCACTGCACCTATCTACCAGCAGCAGACGTTGCTTCCAGCAGCTGATTTTGTTATTTTTCAATCAATTTCCCAACATTTTATTCATTTAAGAATTATAAATAAATGTAATCATTGTTCATTTAATGTGTTAATTGCCAGCAGTTATAAGCAAACTGTACAAAAAAATGAACATTAAATAAAAAAATCGCCTGACTATTAATCGCCTGACTGGACATGATTCTGTTAAATGCATCTGAGGACTTTTATGTCCAAAAGATAACAAATTGAAGAAAAGCAAAATCAAGGTAGCTGGAATAGGCGTGTCATATAAATAAACTTGAAACCGGCAAGCAACCTCACACAATTCATGTATTTTTATGATTTCTGACTGATCATCAGATAATTTTAAAGTGCATGACTGATGGAATAATATTTCTATTCTATATATTTATACAAAATACAAAAAAATAAGTAAAGTTTTATGCTTTATTTACAAAAGTCAAATGACACACACATACAGAGAAAAATATCATGTGAAGTATCCTCCTATCAGCTGGTCTACAGGCTGTGGACGATGGTTCTGCTCTTGAGGTACTCGACGTACTCTTTGGCCTGGTCGAAGCTCGTCCTCTCCTCCACTATTGGGGGTGAGCCTTCCACCAGCTTGACAAAGTAATGACAGTTCACTTTGTCCATGATGCCGAACCTCCCGCGACCGTGGTAACGGATCCGCTTCAAGTACCTCCCTTTGCCAGAGTTGGACTCAGCTGCAGGAGGGGAGGGGGTGTGATAAAAGAGGGTGTGAGATAAACAGAGATAGAGATATGGTAGAGAATACTCATTTAATTTGTAGAGGTGACTTTGAATGAAAACCGGTGAAAATAACAAAGATTGTGCCCAGTTTAGGCTTATCTGTAATAACGTCTCTACTCCACATAAATGACTCGCACAGCACAACATCTGGACTCAAAAGAATGTAAAGCTTTGAAAAAAGAAGACCTGTATTTACTGAAGGTCATTTTCTGAATTCTGAATTTTGAATTCTTGCTTCAGGCACAAAGCTTGAAAGTCTGTGACAACTAATAAGGTTTCAAGTAAATAATTAGGGAAAAGCTAATGTTCTCTATTTGTATGGATAAGTCTTTACAAATTCTATTCTACCTATTTAAATATATCCTGCATCTTTAGTACAACAGCTTGAAAACCAAATCATACTGAATATTTTGTAATTGTTTTGTCTTTCCGTCTTTTCTTTCTTGTGTGTTAACAGGATGTCAAAGACTACTCGATAAAAAAGTAATACTGTAAACAATGTATGTTGAACGTAAATCCATGGGATAAAAAGATTGTTTCATTTTACTCCAAATGTCTTGTTGAACTATACATTTAATCAAAGAACAGCAATTCATAAAAACACATATTATAATGTTTGATTTATTTATATTCCGCTACTTGTACACACTTTCCAATTATTGTCTTTTGTACCTAGTCTTGTATCTTGTTAAGTACCTGCTTTTGTATCTTGTTGTTTGCGCCTTAAGTTTCATTATTTTGTTTTTCACTGGAACCTCTTATCTCTCCTTTCTTATTAGCCCCAATGTTAATTAAAAACCACAGCACCAACATTTATTGTGCAGACTCAAGTGTTTGTTCTTTTTACTTGGCAATACAACCACCGGAGGTCATGTGGTGTTAATAATGTGATGCTGTTTACACAGTGAAAGCCATCAGTGCTGCAGACACTTACCTACATACAGGTTGGATTTGTACTCTACATTGTGATTTTTGACCGCCATCTCCTGGGCTTCCTCAAGAACCTGAACAAACAAAGCAGTGACAGCCATAAATACACTCCATCTGGTGTGATGGGGAGTCATTTTAGAATAATGCATGAATACACAACAAATTCAAACACGAGCTGTGGACATTTAAAAATGAAATGAAAATACAGGAATGTGATTAAATATGTTTTGAAGAATGTGGTGTATAATTGTATTCAACCCAAATCTTGGCCAACCACATTAACAGTGAATGTGCAGCTTCAAACCTCTTTCATGATCTTTGCTCCCTTCTTGTCGTTGAACTGCAGCTGTGCAATGGCCTGATCGATGCTCATCCCTCTGATCTGTAAGGGAGAACAAACAGTGGGATGAGAAAAACAATTAAACATTTCCCAACTGTTATGACAGCAAGGCGCTGCAATGCCAAAGGAAGTCCCTTTGTAACTGCAGTATACTAGTACTAGTACTAGTACTACTACTTAAAAGGGTAATTTGGCAGCATCTAGCATTGTGTTTGCAAATTACAACTAACTGAGAACTGTGTAAAAGGACCCATCGGCCTAGTTCGGGGGGAAAAGTACTCCGGTGTTGCACAATAATATCCTGCATTATATTTGTTACTGGAAATTTGAATTTTCCACAAATATATATTTATTTTATTTTATATTCTTTAACTTTTTAATGCTATTTTATTTATATTTCTGAAATATTTTTGGACTGTTTATTTCTTGTGTCTTAAATTTTTCTAATGTACATTGCCTTGTGTTTTTGATGCTGCTGCAACGCAAACATTTCCCGAATTGGGATCAATGAAGTACCTATCTATCTATCTATCAAAGGTTTTGCAGCCATGGAGATAAGATATTGAAAATGATTAAAATACTTCTCACATTGTTAAGAAATAATTATTAAACATCCCTGGATACATTAATCACTTGTTACTAGGATAAAATGCCCTCACTTTCAATGATCTGACTGTCATCAACTGGCATCTCTGCATTTGCTTGTTTGTAGCCAGGATTAGGTCAGGCGTTTGATTTTGTTGGTCATCTGAATACATGATATTGACAAGGAAATTCCACCATTCTCACCATGTGGGCCAGGTACCACATCTTGTCTTTGCTGTACTTAATCTGCCTTCTGCTGTGGTAAACCTCCTGGAGAAAGAAACACACCACAGTATTCAGGTGTTTGAACATCACAGAGACAACATCCAAACAGTTCATTATGTATAATTATTAAAAGCAGAGAAAAACACTTACTGCTGGCCGGCGAGGTTCATCTGGTTTCTGAGGTGGAAACATCTTCAGGTTGTTCCTCTCCCAGTGCTTCGATTCCAGTGACGTGCTCGTGTGCAGACATGAGAGCTGCAGAGGACCGGCACCCAGAACCTGTAACCTGGAGACGCATTTAAGAAAGTTTAGTACAAGCTCAGACATTCATGAACATTTTACTGTAAATTTGTATCCCAACATGTATATTTTCTACTTTTTTTAATGCTATTTTATATATTTGAGATGTTTACATTTTGAATTGTTTATTTATATTCATTGAATTGCTCTAATGTACAATGCCTTGTCTTTTTATGCTGCTGCAACCCAAACATTTCCCAAATTGGGATCAATAAAGTACATCTTATCTTACTAAAAATAAGAGGAACACAATTAAGTATTCATCCAAAATAATAGGCTTCCATTCCCTATATTTATTTAATCACCGTTCACTAGATAGAATCATTATTTGGCACACGTTATAAAATAAGTGCTGCGATCTGGGAGGTGCTAAATGTCTGCCCCTTATTTTCAGAAGATAGCTCTACATTCACAGTATGAAAAGTGTTTTGGAACATCTCAGAATAATGTAACATATGTTTGGAAGGTAATATGATTAAGTGTATATCTACACTGTGAACGGAGCCAGGTTACGACACCATACCAAAAACGAAAAACACAGCTTCTGTTCATTTAGTCATTAAAGTTCATTGAAATGACAACAATCTGAAGGTGAAATGGCCAAACACATTTCCATTGTTAATGTGGTATTATGTGTGGACTACAAATAAAATGTCTATACTTTTCCTCCGAGATAAAACAAGATACCATAACATTGCTCACACACACTGCAGTTCTGTATTTCACAACGTTACATTATCACGTAGATGTGTTTATTATGAGTAGCTAATTAAACCAGTCCACAGACATTTGTCCTTCTGCAGAGATGGCGATGTACTTACCGTGATTGCAACACCCCAGATATACTTCTAATGAAAGCCATACCTGAAAACACAAACAATGTTCCGTTACAACTTCATAAGGGGACACATTTTTGTTCAGAACATTGTACATTTGAGGTTAAAAGGCTGAATTTGTCTTACCACGTCCTGTCATTGCCGTCGCCATATTTCCTTTTTGCGACACTACAGTGTTCACTTGACGGCAGTGATGTTTACTGAGTTAACATAGATATTTGTTTTGCATTATTCACTGCGTATCAGACACATTTTATTTTTCTTATACATTCTTACGTTTAAAAAAGGAATGAATGACAACAAATGTTAATGGTCGTGTTGCAAAAAATATATAAAAAAGATTTGTACAATGATAAACTAGCCAACTCGAAATGGTTTGACCCAACTGGGATTCCGTACTTGGCACCGGTTGAATTTACGACACCACGCTTGCCACACGGCCGGTAGTGTATTTGCTACGACAGTGCAGGCAGCATGTGAGAAGTTGGAGTTTCCTTTATCATACTTTATTCGTAAATTAGTCCAATTTAAACTTTCTGCGGCGTCATGCATGAAAGGTCGCTCCCCGCCTCTCCCAACTGGTACTGCTCCCGCAGCAGTGACGTCAGCAGCAGTGGTTTGCTGGGCGTCGGAGCCAAAAACATCATCTATTTGATTGATGTGTCTGCATCCTCCTGCAGGGTTGTAGGTGAGTCTGCTGTCACTGCTGGACACCACATACACACAGGGTCATTCTGGCACTTATCCACTGGCTTCTATTTTGGCAAAAGTTATGTTGCACGCGTGTTTTTGGGTCCAAATCAAGGTGATCAGATATCCTCAGGTGTGATGATTACAGCTCCTGGACTCACCCACTGAAAGAGGGAACAGATATCTGATCACCTGGCTGGATTGGGAACATAAAGAGCCAGGTGATCAATCCTAAAAACGCCAAATACATATTTGACTTAAATCTTCCCAAGTTCAAGTTACAGACCTTTTTTTTTCCTTTTTGCCTTGTCGCCTTTCTCTATGCGTAATACTGAGATAATAATTAGAATGTTGCTGTTAAAAGATTACTTTACTAATTTATTAGCAGAACACGATTCACTTTCCCTTTTTACTCATCAAGAAAGGGTTTAGGCTGTTGATTAGACACAACAAGCAATTTGAAGTCCCTTCAAATAGTTCCTCGGTTTAAATGGTACTCCAGTGTTTTATGTACTTCCATAATATGTTGAGACCTGTAAGTGACAGATAAAAAAGAGGAGAGGTCAAATGCAAAGCAGTTAACTGAAGTCAGGTCAAGTTAACACTAGATCATATGATCCCCATTATGGTGCTCAATACATTATTTCATTAGACTCACACACATGAAATCCTGATCTCCTGACACTATGTTTTCAGGTGAGCTCGTTGGCCACAAAGACTTGGTGTCCGGCTTTTCATTCTGTCAGCATGCAGGGCAGAGTAACATCTGTGTCAGCTCCTCCACTGATGGGAGCATTCGCTTCTGGGACTCCGACAACAAGGCTCTTATAAGGGAGGAAGCAGCTCATCAGGTGAGTGTTGAATTTCCTGTTCTGTGTCATGGCAAGAGGAATGATGCATTTTCACAATATGCTGGTGCCTTCTGCAGACTGAAAACAGCTGTTTGCCTATCATAAAAACTCTCCACCAGAGCCTGGCGATCAAAACATATTTTGTTATACAGTATAACTAGGATGTCCCTAAAGTTTTGTTCCCACACACAGACCTCCGTATCAGCGGTGCACTGGTCTCCGGTGGATAAAAACCTGGTGGTGTCGGGGGATGAGAAGGGTGTTGTGGTGTGTCACTGGTACAACACCGGCGACACCACCAGCTTCTTTCCAGAGCCCAGGACCATCTTCTGCCTCACTTGCTCCCCTCACACCTGGAGAACTGTGGCTGTCGGGTAAGAAGATATCAGAGAGCACAGTTCACTCTGCTGGATTTACAACTTGAAGTCGTTTTCTTAAAACATGATTCAGAACGTCAAATCTGAATGACAAATTAGGTTTCAGTTAGGCTTAATTTGTTTATAATCATAAATAAAATATTACTAGAAGACATTTGTGATTATGAAACCCTTGTACTCAACTGTGAAAATAAAACAAAATCTATTCTCCAGCTCCGGAAAAAGAAAAATCTTAGGATCTGTTAAACATTAATTTATTTAGGTTTTGTTTATTAAAAAAAGTCTTCTTCAAATCTAAGAAGTGACACTGTGTCAGAGAGGATAACAGTAGGAAACATGTCAAGTTTGTTCAAATTCAATCTTAAGCTGCCACACCAAAGTGTAATACACATATCAGTGACTGTTCTGTCTTCATCCTGTCTCAAGGTACAAAGATGGGATGATCGTGCTGATCGATGTGAGTAAGAAAGGCGAGGTGATGCACCGTCTGCGTGGACACGAAGATGAGATTCACTCTCTGGCGTGGTCGCCTGTAGCCAGCGAGGACACTCTCTACATCACTGAAGGTAGCAGTCATTACAAATAAGCAACATTTCACAATGCAGTAGCAGCCATGTTTTATTTCCTCCTGCACTTTTTCTCCACAAAGAAATACATTAAGATGGAAAATATATTTGTAAACACATATATGTATGTTCTTTGCTTCCTATAGCAACCAGTGGAGCGACTGCAGGAGATGAGAAGGGCTGCTATCTAGCATCTGGGAGCAAAGATCAGACAATGAGGATCTGGAGCTCAGCCAAGGGAAAAAGTAAGAGATTCAGCCTGACTATTGTTGGTGTCTATGTGAAAAAAAACTCGTACAAGTTATATATTTTAAACCTTATGCCAGGAATTTAATTTTTCTTTTCTAATTTAAAAAACAATATATATTTTTTCTCCTGTCAGTGTTCGGGAAAAGAAAAGAAAAAACATTTCTATTTCATTGCATTAACATACAACAACTGTACGTGTTTTTCTAAACTCGAAGTTTGACCACTGGTAAAACTTCAGATAAAAAAAAAGTACTTAATAATAAAATATATATTTTACAAGAATTTAAGAAAATTGAAAAAAACAACTCAAATCCAGAGAGGATCAAAAATCACTCTGCTTTGTGTAATCCTCTTTTTAATCGTTTTTCCCCTGCAGGTGTGATGACTCTGAAGCTGCCATATCTGAAGAAAAGAGGGTCTGCAGTCGACCCCGGGGTCAAGGAGAGACTCTGGCTCCACGTCCACTGGCCGAAGGGACGACCCACACAACTGGTGTCCAGCTGCTTCGGGTACACACAGTTCTTATCATTTTAGAACATCAGAGAAAGCTTTAAAAAAAAGAAACATGGCAACAGCAAGGTTTCTGGGTCACTTAATTGTGTCTTGGAGTTATTTTGCATTTAGAACCCCTTCATTAATAACTTTCCTGTTGTCAGCATCTGGTGTTTTTACTTCCAGTAAGGAATCAATGTCACATTGCAGATACTTGTTATTATCTTACGGTGATGCAGATGCTTTGCCTTTTTATTTATAGTCCACTCAGTCTCAGATCAGGGTGTCACGTTGTTTAGTATATTGGCGAACATAAATAATAAAAAGACTATAATTAAACATTTAGTTTTATTGGCTTTTATCATGAATTGGCACAGGAATACAAGTGTATATAGTTATTGATCATATGAACCATAATCGTGGAACAAGAAAATACACACAGCGTAGTAGAAAGGGACCATGCATGAGACAAAAACATGTACTCCTGTGTGTAAATAAATGTGTGTGTGTCTTATCAGTGGTGAGTTGGTGATCTGGGACCTAACCCGGACAGGGAAGCAGAGGTGGACTCTGTTGGGGACATCATCAGAGGGGCAGAACCACAACAGGATCGTCTTCAACGTGAGTTCAGTTCACCTGCAGGACGACAGAGAGCTGATCATCAGCACCTCCATGGACAGAGAGGTGAGTCACCGTCTTTGATCTTACACATAACGGGAATGTGTTGCTTTTTGTATAATCACAAGCAGCTTGTTTCATGTACAGAAATTGCACCTCTCATCCTTACCTGGTTGTTGAGCCTTGTATAAAATACACTGAACAAAAGTATAAAGGCAACACTTTTGTTTTTGCTCCCATTTTTCATTAGCTGAAATCAAAGACCTGAGACTTTTTCCATGTAAACAAAAGACCTGTGCAGCAGGAGCGTATTTGCTACTTAATGATTGTGTAATAAAGGGTACAAATGTTAGTCTTGTTGCAAGCAATGTTTTCAGTGTTCCATCTTTAAGTATTCACCTTTTTTCCACTTTTTATTCTCCAGATTAAATGCTGGGACCTGGCCTCTCTGGACTGCTGTTGGACTCTGCCCACCCTGGGGGGGTTCGTCTACGCCCTGACCTTCTCCCCTGTGGGAACAGGGTGTCTGGCGCTGGGTGTCGGGGACAACATGATCCGGGTGTGGAACACACTGACCACCCAGAACCAGTACGACACCCGGTCCTTCTGGCAGGGCATCAAGTCCAAGGTCACAGCGGTAAGATGAGACTATCAGGATGTTTGTGGAGACAATTATAATGATAACATTAAACTTCCATTTTTTTGTTTTCCATGAAGCATCCTCCATTTTAAACAGCTGTGACAACTCTTACATGACATAAATATAAGATTTAGTGCTTTGAGAAACTTTCAATACTAAGATGGCGCCGCAGATGTACACCGAACTCTTTCACCAGGGAAGAGCTCCTAAACATTAAAGAAACAACTTCAGCGGATTACTTTCCCACTTTTCTCTGTTCTTCCGTGGAATTATTGGACATTCTTGTAAAAAGTACCCTCACGTGCATCCGAGCACTGAAACGCCACAGGAGAGGGAAACGGGCTGGGATACTCGTGCGCCTCCGCAGCCTATGGTTCATTCATTCATTCATTTCCATGTAAATTACTGCTTTATTTTATTGCTATTTAACTATATTTTATTAGGGTGTCCTTAAAGATTTCTTGTTTTATATTTTATGTATGTACCATGACATCAAGTCAAATTCCTCGTATGTGTGAACCTACCTGGCAATAAACCTGTTTCTGATTCTGATTCACTGCAGCTGGCATGGCACCCAAAAAAAGAAGGATCCTTGTCTTTTGGAACAGATGATGGAAAAGTTGGCATCTACGAAGTGTTCTCAAACAGGTACGATTCCAGACTTTTGGTTTTAAGTTATGTACGTTTCCAACACTTTAACAAACCTCCACACGTTCGACCTCACCCTACTGTAGATTTTTACCTGCAGTTCCTCATTGTCCAAAGGAAATACAAAAACAAAAAACCTTAGTGTTTACAATAAAACTCCACAGGGGACCTTCATCAAAATGACGATGGATATGATTTTTCTAACTGCTCAAAGAGAAAATTGCTCTGACTTGGACTTTGTGTGAAGACTTTTCTGTAGGTTAAACCATTGTTTTTCTAGTGGGTTTGTCCCATAATCTCCAAACTCCCCGGAGTCCCATTGTCCTGCAGCTATCTATGTCATGTATGGCTGACTCTCCATTTGTTCTGCTTCATCTCCCCCCCAGACCTCCTCAGATATCGAGTTCCTATCACAGAAAAACGGTGTACACACTGGCCTGGGGGCCCCCAGTCCCCCCGATGTCGTTTGGTAAGCTCCTAATGAACTGGAAGAACCTCCTGCTGCTCGTTGTGAACGCTCTGACTCAGGAGAAAACTCCTGGGATAGGACACTGAAAGTCAGCGAAAAAGCCCAAATGGCTCTGCACGCATTATTTGTAATTAACTCCATAATTGAAAAAGCTGGAAAAAAACATGTAATGCTCACCTCCCACTCGTGGTGAAATCTAGACGTAGGAAGTTCATTTCACCAGCTGTCGGCAGCTCACATTTTGATGAGCGTATATCAATCGCTTGGCTTCGAATCCATAGATATAATTGTTACCGGGCCAAAAATGAGCTGGTTGCTCCTTAACACTCTAGAGAAAAAGCGTATTTGATGCCAACTCGGCTCTCTTCATGAGCTCTGGGATCCCATTGGTTTGGATCCCCAAGCTAAATTAAAATAGTGGTGCAGAGGAAAATCAGGGCCAAATGCTTCTTACGTCTCTGGATATCTGAAGACTATCAACTGTCACACTACTTGTATAGTTCTTTACAAGAAGACCTGAGAACACAGAGTAACTATATGTAGAGTGCCTTTTTAGCTGGGTTTCTAGAATATATCGCGACTTCAGCAGTAACTAGACTGAAACTCACTGAATGGTTCATACGTTAAAAGGTTTACATCTACATTTTTAAGGTATATGGTTTAGGTGAAAGGTTACTGTAAATAAACCACATTGAGTCATTGTGATCAATCATTTCGGAAAAGTTTCAAGTATTTTAATCAACCTCTGTAATGCAGAATACAATTAGTCCAAGCTGAACCAGAAGGAAGTTCTTCAATGAAATGTATTTTGTGTAATTGCCCTATGAGCAGTTAAACCAAAAGGTCAATAAAAAGCGTATATCCCTGACACTAAGTTAATACTGTGTTTGTCTGTGATGTTCAGGTGCCGCAGGAGGAAAGCCGTCCTACAGCCTGTACAGCTGCGCAGGGGAAGGCACCATCCTGCAGCACGACCCGTCTAAACTGAGTGGAGAGGCTGGGGACATCGACAAGCTGATCAGAGACACCAACAACATCAAGGTGAGAGGGGCGATGGTGGAATTCTCTGGGCCATTTAACATGTTCTAATGTGGTTGATTTAGAAGTTAATGCTTTTTTAAATGTGGTTTGGTACCATGATTTACGCACTGAACTGTTCAGGGTACTAGTTGCTTTTCATGCTGCTGACACTGCGATGAGCAGTTTAGTCGTTATTATATATTCAGATTGGTGCAGTGTTCCTGTAATCATTTTATGAGTCCCTTTTTATCTTATCTCTGTGTCCTCTGATATCCATGCACATACTTCAGAAAGCCTTTACTCAACCAGCGTCACAATCTCGGTATGAAGTCATTACAAGAGATAGTGACACAGGCTGAAGACAGATAACAGGAGGAAAATAATAGTAAACACAGAAAAGGAAAAACAATTGATTAGATATGTTTACCAGTAAAGTCAGTAGCAAGGGGGGTGCATGAGTAGTTTGAGGAAAATATTTTACAAGTCACAGGAGAGAGCCTCTTGACAAAGAAGGGAGTGATTTATAGTATGAGAGCACTATTGGTTCGTCCCACTAAGATGATCACTACTTCGACCCCTATGTACCAACAGAAAGAAACAATCAATCAAAAACTCACATGAGAAAATCTCTTTATTCTATCTGTGATAAAGCTTTAATCGAGGTTAATACCAAGGTTGCACTCCTGGCATGACGGTTTATTCTATGTTTTCCTGCTCATAGAAAGAGAGGTGATTTTAAAAGGTCATAAAGGTGAGCTCTGCTTCCCAACAGCACAAGCTGTCTCCACACACAGACTTCAGCTGGAAGCCAGATGGGAAAGTGGTTGCCATCGGCAACGAGGACGGGTGAGTGACGACCGTCTCATAATGAACCATCAGCCTGTCAGGTCCTCTCTACTCTGTGTGGTCTTCATAACAAAAATACTGGCTAGTTGAGACCTTGCTAATTAGTTTATTGTGATGTTTTGTAATGCACTATGTATATAAAAGGACAAAAAATTATCAAATGAGCCTTAATTAGTTTGCTTTCCAAATCTGGCTGTTAGGCAAGAAGTCATCCAGTGTTGATATTATAACCGTCTCTATCGTTTTGTCATGCCTTACTAGTTTTCACTTTGGTCTTGGAACTACAATTACTTACATTTTTGATCGTGGTTCCTGTGTGTTTTCCAATGCTTGATAGCACATGCTCTCTGTCACAGGTGTATTGATGTGTATGAGGCTCCCAGTCTGAAGCTTCTGTGCAGCATCCAGCAGCACCACAAGATCATCAACACGTTGCGCTGGCATCACGACCACAGCTCCCCGCCGGAGCTGCACGGCCTCCTGGCGTCAGGCTCCAGCAACGCCACCGTCTACGTGCACGACCTCCGCTCCATCATAGGTTGGCCAAGCAAATTATACTATTCAGTCAGTCCTACATCATTTGTAAGAGCTTGTATTTTTTTCTGAATTGAAATAATAATATTCAACATCACTTTAAGATGTTCTAAGCCGGGTAGGTATTTAAATGCTGTTTCCTTTTCTGCACAGAGAGTCCTCCAGAAAGCCCTGTAGTGTTGACAGAGCCGTATCGCAGGCTGTGTGGTCACACCGCTAAAATCACCGGTATGGTCTGGAGTCCACACCACGAAGCCCGGCTGGTCACCGTCTCATATGATGGAACAGCTCAGGTTAGTATCATGTGCATAAAACCATGATAATGGTTAACTCAGCTGCTCCAGAGTCTGTCTGAATCAACCAAAAACTGTAGGGACATTTCTTGAATCTGTCTGCCACAGGCTCCTTTCTAAGGGTTTGGAATTCGCTTTACCTTTGATTGAATAAGTAGGCTTGGTTTCTTAAAGGTCCCCTACTATACTGTTTTTCATCAATATATTATAGGTCTCAGATGTATACGAAACATGTCTCCGAAGTGTTTGGCTCGAAATACCAAACAGATCATGAATTGTAGCATCCCATAATCCCCTCTGTTTCAGCCCTGTTTCAAAAGAGCTGATTCTCTATCTGTTACTTCCGATGAAAATAAGGAGCCCCTCCCCACGCCCCTCTGAGAGATATTTGGTTAAAAAGAACACAATGGTGCTCTAGGAGGAGATTCAGGTGATAAGGTGGGGGGGGGGGTGTTACCTTGGTTGGTTATTGGCTAATGGTTGCACAACCCAAAAAAATCGTTATGACATCATAAAGTGACCAAAGTCTCATCTGCTCATTTTCAGACAGGTTTTTATGTAAATGACCAGGAGAAAAAGAGAGCACATTTTTTTTCTTGAAACTTTCAGAATCTCAGAAGGGACACATATTTCTTTATAAATAATTTTGCATAATAGGTGACCTTTAATGTCAACTGTTGCATCAGACATTCTTATCAATTTGAAGTCCCCGTTTCATTTAATTGTTTCTTTTCAGATTTGAAACCTTCTTTGATTTGTTTTCTTCTGTTCAGGTGTGGGACGTGTTGGAGGAAGCAGCTATCTGTAACTACCGCGGTCACGTTGGTTTCCTGCTGTGTGTGGACTGGTCGCCTGTGGATCCAGATGTGATCTGGACTGGAGGAAAGGACTTCACGCTGCATGAATGGAAGGTCTCCACACAAGAGTTTACAAAGCCACCTAAAGGTGAACATCTGTCTTGAGAAACCAATAAATCCCGACCTCCAACTCTCTCTTTCTGGACTTTAGTGAAACGAACTGACTGTAACGTTCACATGCTTATCCTTTCAGGGAAAAAGATGGTCAACCTGAAGGAGAAGAAGAAGAAAAACAAGAAGGTGTCAGGGGCCGGAGGGGCCGGAGGGGCCGCACCACTAGAGATGAACGGAGGTTCAGTTACAGGAGGAGTGAAGGCGGTGAAAGCTCAGGAGCTGTCTGGTGAAGATGAGGAAGATGAAGTCAGCTCAACAAGCAGTTCCGTACCTCCATCAGGTAAGAGAGTTGTAGTTATAGATTTAGCAAAAGTAAGATTTGTAGGACCTTTTTTAAAGTGAAGCCAACTTTATTCTGAAATGTTGTTTTTTAGCCATAATTGAGACGCAAAGAAAAGCCTTCACTGCCGTAAAGAGCAAAGACAAACCAGGTACGTGCTCTAGTTCATAAAACAACTTCAGCTGAATGTCTGCATCTGTTTTACATGTAACTGTATGGGTGTGTCTGCAATTCTCTCCAGACTTGCTGAAGAAGAAGAAGCCTCGCTCCATGCTGCCCGTCAGCACCGCCATGGACCATCGGCCCAAAGAGGATCTGCTGCAAGACTGCATCACTCTGGCCTCGGTCAAACACAACAGTGGTAAGAGAGGATTGATTCGCACAACTGTTATAATACATAAAAAGACGGTTCGATTTACTGTTCTGTGTGTGTGTGTGTTCCAGCTCCCCCTGCAGGGTGTGTCCCAGGCCAGGGAGAGCACATCCATCTGGGCCTCTTTTCTGACAGGCAGGCTCTGCACCGCATGTTTGAGGCAGAGGGTAAGTCATTATTTCCTTGTGTTGACACAGATATGTTAATAAACCATGGTCATATCTTTCAGGCCGTTATTGTCTGTACTTGAAGCTGCCTGTTTATAGTAACACAAGTTAGCTGTTCCTTAGACCTGAACACTTTAGACCCTGAGCATGATGCACACAGTCACTGCCAGGTTCATGTGCTCCTGATAGAAATCACTGAGCTATATCAGCAATATTGAAATGACCCTTGAATGAAGTGGGATTCCAGATGTTCTGTCAGTGAAGTAATTGTATCCGTTGTCTCTTGTTCTTCAGAGGAGGGTCATGTGGAGGCGGGTCACTTTGAATCAGTGGTGTACCTGCGGCTGTGGAGCGGAGACCTGGAGGGGGCGCTGCAGCTCGCCACAGAGAAGGGAGAGCTGAATGACCACCTGCTCTCCCTCGCTCCCATGGGTTAGGACCTGTGCTATGTTGGATATACGTTTATCTTTAGCTAACACTCACTGACACCTTCTCTTGATGTAGAGCCATTTTTGCTCCAAAAAATAGACTCAAGCTTTACTTAAGTCTATTTTTCTTCGATAAAATCAAGGCACACCACAGAGCGACTATAAGTTGGACTGATTACATCTCATTAAGCTGTAAATCAGACCCTTGCACACTCACTCTATGAGCAGCATCAACGTGGTGCTTCATTCATGTTTAAATCTTATACAACATAACATTAGGAGGCTTCCAAACATAACAACAACTCCTGTTAGGGCTGTAACCGAATATTCGTTCGTTGGAGTACTATTCGGGTTTCAATGTCGTTATTCGGATATTGGTTTTGTTCCCGTTTTTTTTTTCAAATGGAATTTATTGAAATCTCCAATATCAACGTAAGAGCTTGTGCCTCTTCAGGGGGTGCTAACACTTAACCATAAACGTTATCGTTGACTTTCTCCGTCTTTATATGTAGATATTACTTTTCTCCGTTAATCTCACGTTGTTTCCAAAGCAACAACAACTTCCTGTCAACTGCGCTACCTCTCCTTGAAAATAAAAGCATGTCCATAAATAGGAAGCCAAGCCAAATTACACTTAAGACATATACAACTGCAACGAAAGTAACAAACACAATGCGATATCCTTTTCAATTTCAAAGAACACAAATTGGGTTACATTAACAAATAACTATAAAACGACAATACTGTAGAATGACAAAATGAATGCCGTGAATACACCGAAATACACGTGTTGAATAACTCCTGTGTTTCCTCCTCCAGCGGGGTTCCTGGTGTGGAGCCGGACAGTGGAGGCCTTTGTGAAGCAGCTGTGTCTGCAGGAGCAGTACCTGAAGGCAGCATCTCACCTGCTGTCAATCAACAAGCTGTACGAAGCCATCAACCTGCTGCGTTCTCACAAGCTCTACAGGTTCCCTCTCTTCATCTTTTTGTTCAAATGAGCATTTATTTACTTATTTTTGTCATTAGCCTTCGGTCAAATACCTACACAGTAATGTGCACAGTTTGTTTGGTCTGCACGTGTTGCTGTGCTACAGCATGGAGGGTAAAAATGAAAGAACTTGAACATTTCTAGTTGTTCGCAGCAGATCTAGCCATGTTTCTGGTTTTCACGGCAAATATGTTTATATTCTAAAAGAACAGATCTGTGTGTTTTTCGTCAGAGAGGCCATAGCCCTGGTGAAAGCCAGGCTGCCAGCAGAGGAGCCGGTCCTGAAGGAGCTGTACACCTGCTGGGCCGCCGTGCTGGAGAGGGACGGACATTTCTCTGCAGCCGCTAAATGGTAAGAACTGGAAGGATTCCTGAAAGTGTCTTCTCGTACTCCTGGTGGGATTTAACTGGCAGTTAATGTCAATGTAAAACTCTATTGCAGACTTTATTTAAACGTGTCCTTTCCCGTTTGTTTTACCTCGTCTTCCAGTTACCTGGCTGCTGGCGCCAGTTTCGACGCTGCTAAAGTTATCGCCAGGAAGAACGACGTCTCCTCGCTGAGCACCGCGGCCAGTCTGGCCAGAATCTCCGGAGAGGTTGCCCTGGCTCAGTCGCTGGCGCTGCGGTGCGCTAAGGACCTGGCAGCTGCTCAGGACTGGACCGCAGCCCAGGAGGTCCTGAGCTCACAGGAGAGCCTGCTGGTCAGTGGCAACAGCATGACACAGAAACACTTCCCTGCAGCGCAGAAAATAAAACTTTTATTGTATTTGAGACAGGATGATGATGATGATCTTTTTCTTGAATTAAAACAACAAGACATGCAAAAATGGTTGGGAACCACTGCAAATGTTTTGGGTATTCCTATTAAATATTGCTTAGGGAAGGTCTTGAAGAGAAATCTGCATTTTGAGCATGATATGTTGTTTTATATATTTAAATTCCTAATCCCTAAAATCCATATGCATCTGAAAGAAATCTGCTCATCTTATCAAATACATGACTTTACAGGTTATACATTCAAAGAATAGGGTCAAAAAAAGATTTGAATTTTAATTGTTTTGAAATAAACTCTTAAAGTGTTTCCGCCCTGTGCAGGTCCACAGGCTGCATCTGTGTGTCGCTGAGCTGCTGGCCGTGATGTTGGCAGACCCTCAGGCTGCGTCTCCGCCCTGCGTCTCCACCAACCTGTGGGCGTCTCCAGGCCAGCGTCACGTCAGCATCCATGGCCGAGTGAAAGCCGTGTGGGAGGAGCAGTTTGGCGTTTCACAAACGTCTGCAGGACACCGCAGCGTCAAAACTCTTTTGCAGGAGCTGAAGTCTTTGGAGAGTCCTGCACCCACCGCCAACATTCCTCTCAGACAGGTGACAGTCTTCAAAGTGCTCGCATGATTTTAAACCATTTGTGCTAATTAAAGAGGCCAAATGAGAAGTGTCTTATAAGTACCTCAACTATTTCCCTGATCTGTCTCTATCTTGTTGTGTCTTTGTTGTTGTTGTCCTTGTCCTCAGGTTCAGCTGTATTCCTCCCTCCATCTGACCCGTGCTGTGTTGAGCTTGTTATCAGACGATGACGGGCAGCTGATAAAGGAGCTGTGGCAGGCGGTGGCCTGGCTCAGAGACGCCGGACACTTCTGTGTCTCTGCAGAGCTCTGCAGGCTGCTGTTCCCTGACGGTATGTCTGTCTAATAATCCATCAATCAAGTTTTAATTTGGTTTCTTTTTTAATCATTTAATTCTTTGAGATTTTAGCTAGAGTAATATGTTTACGTTTTTTAAGATTTCTGTTTTTGGTTGATTTCCTATCATAATTTAGATAGTGTTATGCCCTTTAATAATAATAATAATATACTTTATATATATATAGCACCTTTCATGCTTGACGCAGCCCAAAGTGCTTTAAAGACATTGACGATAACAAATGAGGAACATAATTAAAATATGTTAAAACATGAACAGTGATACTACTACAAATGTATAAGCCAAATTAAAAAGATCTTTAATTTACTTTTGTAAATTCCAATTGAGGTTGCCGTTCTAAGATGAAATGGTTCCACAGTTTGGGGCGATATAACAACAGAAAGCAGCCTCCCCAGTGTTCTTGTAATGCACTCTAGGTACATTTAAAAGTGAAACATTGGAGGATCTGAGTGTCCTTGCTGGTTGATCAAATGAGAGACAGTCACTGTACTCATGTTGAAAGTGCCTAAAAGAGATTTTAGCAATTGGTACACATGAAAACTAAACCAATTTTGAAATACCAGATATACATTTTCAAATGTCAAATCTTTTCTGCTGTAAAATGATTTGATCCATCAAGGGATGAATTGATCATGGAAATAATCATCATTTGCAGCCCAAATATTTACATTTGATTGATATGTAACTAGAGCTGCCACACCAATCTTTATTTTATTCTTTTCTCCGTTTCACCAGGTAAGGTCACGGTTTGTTCACTAAATCACCCCAAAGTACTTCAGTACGCAGAGGAGGAAGCCAAAGCGGCTGCTGGCAGTCTTGAGGCGTTCGTCCATTACCACCGTCTGTACCAACACTGGTGGAGCAACCCCACCCAGATCCAGAGCAGATGTTCCCTCCCATTAGCTGACTGCAGTCATGGAGAGGAGGTGGAGGAGAAAGTGGTGAATGGAGAAGGAGATGTTTCTGAGTCAGGGGAGAGTGTCAGTCCGGAGACTTGGACATTTCAAGACCTGGACCTCGGTGCGTATGGGCTTCTGTCTGAGCGTCACGCCGCCTGTCAGGCCTCCCAGAGGTCAGTGAGGGAGATCCAGGAGCGGATCGCAGCCCTGGTGCTGAGGCACAGCCGGGCCCAGGTAGGGCAGCTGGACTCTGGGGAGAAGGAGGCCGCAGACAGGCCCCTGCAGCTCTCCTCCAGCAGAGAGGGCTCTGCTGATGCTGAGCAAAGGTGAGGGCTCCGTTACTGACACATTCGTGGGTCTCTTCATATCATGTTTGCCTGTGAAACTATAAAATATACCATTCAGTACTCTTTTCATTGATCTACTGATTTAATTCCAACACATGCAGTATCCAAAATTATGCTTTGTCTAAATCTCTACAGTTTAAAATGACATGACTTTTTTTATGGCATTATACTATGCTTTAATTTAGTTGACTTTGTAATGACATTTGATATGACATACTAGGTGATTAAATTCAGCAGTTTACATTTTGAACATTTCAGGTGTTCAGCTGATCTTGTTGGATTATATGGATTGTCCCATTAAGCTTCTGTATGTGCTCTCCCTCAGGCCTGAGGAGCAGGAAACCCTGCTCTCTCTGTCTACCAAGATGTCAGAACACCAGAAACAGCTGGCTGACCTGCCGAACACAATCAAGGTATTTAATTATTGTTAAAATCTGTGGTGCAATACTAAAATATTGATAACGACACAACTATCAATACCAAACAAGCTGACTTTATCAAGTGATTTAAGAAGGGTTTCATTTCTAATAACTCAATTATTTTCCTGTTCCCTCTCAGATGTATCCTCACCCCGATGTTGTTGAATGCTGTCTGGTTCTCCTGCACATCAGCAAGTCTTCGTCTCTCTCAGAGTCGCTCCAACTAAAGGCCAAAGATCTGCTCCGCAAATACGGAAAAGATCCCTCCGTCCTCAAAATTGCTCAGAAATTCCTTAGCTGAATCTTTCATTTAAAGACTGAAAGAAGCACTTCCTTTGTACAGCATTTTTTTTTTTGATGAGTAAAAATAAACTTTATTTGATTCTACTTCCAGAAAAGCCTGAAAGTCTTCTGTAAGAGCTGCATGCTCATTTTCTGTCTGTATTTTGACCTCGAGTAACAATTGTTGTTAAACTTAAACACTAACGGTTCAAACTGTTATTAATTGATAGGTAATTATTTATTTCAACATGCTTCCAGCAGCTTGTCTTGTGTAAAGATTTGATGCTTTGCTCTAGTGCAGGGGTCTGCAACCCGCGGCTCTTTAAGCCCTCTGCTCTGGCTCCCTGGAGTTTAGACAAAAATAAAATAAAAATATTTGTAGGACTATTTATATTTAATTGCACGGTCGAATATTTTTGGTATCTTGTATTTTGAGGTGATACTGTGACACATAAATAAAAAATAAAACTGTTTTAATTAGGTCAACTAAAAGATGCGTCACATCCTGCTACGGTCCCGCGCCAGCGCCTTTTCTTGCAGGCGAATAACCTGACCCCCGGCTGGATGAGCGAACTATGGATACATCAAAGAAAATAAAAGTATCGGAGGAACACAGAGGGTTTAATTCTGCTTTCACAGCAAACGATGCTGGCTTACCGGTATGTTTGATATTACATTACATTGCATTTAGCTGACGCTTTTATCCAAAGCGACTTACGATAAGTACATTCGACCAGATATGATATGTGGAGAGAAGCTGTCAAAGGTGCTGCAGCCTTTACGTATCGAGGAGAAAAACAGCTGACGATCGTCAGTCAGTCAATTCACTCTGTTAACTCTTTTTAGGGTGCAGCTATATCTTTTATTTATTTCAAAGTGGGCCCATTTTAATTGTATTCAAATGTGCAGAGGACTCCCCGAGTGCTGTTTAATTCATTTTAAAGTAGGCATGTGTATTTTTTTGTATTCTCCTTATAAGATTAGAGAAACAGTTTTCTATAATGTAATAAATAATAAATGCAAAAAAACGGTAGTTATAACAATATATACAACTGTATAAGCTGTCAAATATGTTTTGCGGCTCCAGACAAAAGTAATTGGTGGATAAGGGGGCGAAATGGCTCTTTTGGTCCAAAAGGTTGCAGACCCCTCTCTAGTGTTTCAATACATGTTATGTCTTTGGGCAGTGAAGGTAGTGTGGCTTTACAATTTATGGCATGAAATTTTACTGACAAAACAAATATGTAAAAAGATGGAAACTATTTGGCATTTTTATGCTTGATAAATTGGTATTTGTGCTCAGAAAGTTTATACATGTTCTTTCTGACTGATTAGTCCAATTGCTGCAGCCCTCGTTTTTTATTTTAAATGCGAGATTGCAGACATGCTTGGGTAAATCTGGCATTAAGTCTCCTTTGTTTGTAGCCTTTATTTAACCAGGTGGAAGCCCCTTGAGATCAAAAGATCTCTTTTTCAAGGGTGACCTGCAGAAAAGCCATTGAAACAAATGTCAAACAAGCTGTCAGTGTGTGTGGCCGGTAAAAAAGATTGAATACTTAACGTTTACATTCAAAATACAAAACAATTTAATATACAACTGTTTAAAACAATGTAGAATGTAAAAACAACAGCAACCACAACATCTGTAAACCTGGTGGTGGACAGTTTGTCATGGTGGGTGAATGTACAGAACCACAGTAGTTTGCCCATTGAGACACATGCATAACCAAGCACAGTTATACACTTCGACGCCCACTGTTAAAAGTTTCTGAAAGTGGAAAAGAGCTAAAACATTTTTATTTTCATCAAAATTATACATTTTAATTTACAGGCCCTTCCAACATTAACTTAAAAAAATGAAATCCCTGCAACAAGAGACGAGTCCCGCTGATGAGAAGGATATTCTGAATTGAACAAACTGACTGTTTTTGGCAAGGTTTGGTCTGAAATCACAGTACGATGGAGGAGCTGGTCCCATGCTGTTAAAGGGGGGGGGGGAGGGAGGAAACAAAAACAGGTTTAAAAAATGGTTCTGAATATGTGGCCATATACTCAGTAAAAGCGACTAAAAAGAAACGTCTGAGCCAGTGAAGGATCCAATGTCACTGCGAGTCCGTGTCCATTTTACAGTCACTCGGGAGGAAAATGTAAAGAAATATTTGTTTAGTCTCGTTCAGGGATCACGTGTTGAGGGAGATCAGGGGGGGAATCTGCTGGTTGGGTTTTTAAAACAAGTGCGTGTTCCACTTGAAGGTCAGTCAGTGCTTGTTGTTGGTCTCCTCCTGACCCGAGCCGGAGATGCCGTTCTGCGGCTGGGTGGAGCCCGAGCCCAGGCCGTATAATCTCCCACAATACTTTGCATCATCGATATTGTCCTCAAAGAAAAGCTGAGACAGAAAAAACAGATTTCCATTACATTCTGCTGTAGATATGAAAGCCCATCTTCCACTCTAACATGCTGTATTCAGGTATGCAAACTTATCAGGGTGAAAAAGGATTTCCTTGGTGTACTGCATTTCCTTTTAAAACAGGAAGTTCAATTGGGAAGTATAACAGTAGGTGAGTGAAGCTCTAGCAAGGCATGGTAACCTTAGGGCCACAAAAGCAGATTTTAGGTCTTAAAATAAAGTCAGGTTTTTCACGTGATGATCCCAATCGTGTTTCGGACACATGACTATAATTATTGTAAAAAAAGAAAATCAGAGTGCATCTTTCTAGAAATATTGTAATTCATCAGGGATAAGAAATGTGAAGGCGGCTTGAACTGCAGCTCAGCAAGACTCTAAAGCATTTTAAAACATCAAGACATGTGTTTAACCGTACCTCTTTCATCCTGAAGAAAGCCATGCCGGTGAGAAGCGAGTCAGATCCGGCCTGATGCTGCCGCCCGATCCTCTTTAGCTCCAGCTGCTCCGCTACTTCCTGCAGCCCTCCCTGCAATAACACATGTCAGATAGCTCAAGGCTTGTTTTGACATAATTTGATTTCTTATATTGTAAGAAGGATCATTTGCCCAATCAACACCTCTGATGAGGTTTGGACAAAATGACTGTCTTGTATATCTGTGGATATTCTTTATGAATTAGTAGCGCATCAGTCTCATTTCATTGTGTTTCAATTGCCATCTTCGCTACAATGATCATAAGCCCTTTCTTGTTCTTAAGTGGAGTTAGGACTCCACAATAAAGGACTCTTGAATACCTTCAAGTTCTTGCAGCTCTTCATCAAGTACTTGACGTCGTAGATGGCGGGGAAGAACAGGTTGAGGATCTGGAAGAAGTCGTGTTCTTCCTCAGGGAGCCGTGCGTCTGTTAGGAGCTTCACCAGGTAGCCGAAGTCGTAGCCGCTAAGAGAAACAGAACAGAGGTGTTGGGTTTAGGATGGACATGGCCTTGATCGAAAGGTGTGCAAGATCCACTGTTCCCACCAATTCATTCTAACATATTATATAGTCTTTAAGGCTCTAGTAACATTTAGAGATGTAACCAAAATGATATGAAGTGATTTTTTTAATGAATTATTTTAAATAAATAATATAACATTCAAGAAACTGTAGGATCAACGCCCGGTAAAATGGGACTAACAATGCAAAAGCTGAATTAGAACAGACGGCTGACCTGTGGAAGGAGAGCCACTTTGTGTTTTCACACAGCACCAGGCCGGATGTCATGAGGAGCTCAGCAAAGTAGAGTGTGTCGATTCCCTCTTCTTCATGCTTTTTAAACTGGAGGCCGGAGTTCTGGAGTAGGTCTATGGAGTCCTGCGAGTACATGTCTTCTCTGTGATGAGCAAAAAAAAAGCAAAAACATAGTGACATTAAAGGAATGCTACCATCACGTTCAACCATCAGCCGATACGTCTTTTAGGTCAGGATGGATTTGATTAGACGGTGCGAAAGGACGGTCCACTTACGTGAGGTTGAATTTGAAGTTGAACTGCCACGTCGACGTGCCAGGAGGATATTTTCCCGCCTCGTTCATGAAACTGAGGCCGAGCTGGATGATCTTCAGGAGGTCGACATTACACCGGAGCAGCTGGTACTGGTAGTCTACTGTGCTTCGAAACTCACCGATTGGCCGGACAACCACACCAGGGAATTCTGTGTCCTGATGAAACATAAAGACAGAGGTGAAAACTCCACCTTTTAATTATTATTCCTGCACTGTTAATGCTCAACGTAACGTGATGGCAAATCGTCACTCAATCACTGCAGTTTTTTAATGTAATGTTTTTGTCTCCAATGCATTATTTAAGAAAACAACATATACAATTCAAAGCTTTACTTAGAAATAAAGCAATCATTTGCAGCAACGTAATCTCTTACCATGGCAATGAAACTGTAGCTTTGAATAACTTGCCGGATTTTCCTCATTTCGTCCTCCACATTACTCGCCCAGACTTCACAGATCATCTGACTGGCATCGGTTATTGCGGCTGGCATGTTGGCAGGTTTGGATGAGAGCTAAAAGCCCAACAATCCTGCAGCACGTGTGAAGGGGGCGAAGGGGAGGCGGTGAGATGAAGAGGGACGACTCTGGGAGAGGATACAACAAAAATGAGTTGGTTAATAAGTATAAATCTAACTGCAACACTGGAGTTAAGACAGCATTATTTAAGCAAGGATGAGGATAGAACGACTGCTGTTTCAATAAGCAAAATGCACACACTAATGTTTAAAGCACATATCAACACCCCCCCCACACACACACACACACACACACACAAACACACACACACACACACAGTAAACAAGGTCAACATATGCTAAGTATTCTAAAATGTTGATAATAAACTGAAAAAGCAATCTTTATTATAGTTTGAAATATCTATATATAAATTAGCGAATTAGTCATCAATCCAAAGTGTGAAATGTTGCAACACATGTGCAATACAACCATTAACATCCCAAGTGATGACTGTAGATAAGTTGATATTTGCTGTTTATTGTTTTTATTTTATTATGTTTATACTTTATTCAACCTTTTAAATATTTTAATGCCTTAACACACTGATGCTGTATTAAAATAACTTCCAAACGTGGGATCAATAAAGTATCTATCTATCTATCTATGCGTTACCATGACAAGAAGATGAATTAGCCTCATACAAGTTAGCTAACAGTTGTTTACAACATCGAGCTAACACATCATATATACCTAACAAAAAGAACCATATAGTATATAGTAGTAGTATTTGGAAAGGGTTAAGGGTGTTTAGTCATCATTTAAAATAACATTCATACGAACTAACGATGTTGCGGCGCTAGCATGAGTGGCTAATGTTCACAAGCTAATCCTCGCGTTATTGGGAAACACCGGAACAAAACATAAATAAAACGGCTCTGCTTGTCCACTTTTTGCAATGTCACACAGCTCTGAACACTTGAGACATGCAAATGTATTGCTGTTGAAAGTATATACATATAAAAAATAGGTTTACCTCAGAATTTCCTCGACGTTACCCGCCAAGCTAGCTAAAAGCGCCTCTGTTGTTCTTCTTCTTCGTTTTCTCCGTCCCCTACCTCTTCTTCTTTGTGTTTGTTGGCGGGTGGCAATTAGAGGGTAAATGTGCATACCGCCACCTACTGCACTGTCATGTAACGACGTGATTTGAGATATCTACAGGCTAAACGGGTAAATAAGTTAAAACACCTTTTTTCCATATTTTGAATCCTGCTTCCAATCAAAAACAGTTGAGGAAAGATGGATTTGTTAGCTCTACAATATCTGAAAAACTCAACAGTTTTTGTCTTACAAAACAACTCTAAACGTACTGAATTGCTTATTGCTACTGTAATTGAAGAGTACTTTATTGTCATACTAGTAATTACCTTACTTTTAAAATTAACATCCAGCATACAAAACATATGAGTAGGCTACATGATGCATTGTTATCATTTCAAGGGTTGTTTTCATTACATTAAATACTTTAACTTGAAACACTTTTTTGTAAAAAAGTGTGTTACTTCAATAATCTTTCCATCACTTTTCCTTTCAATACAGTATCTTTGCATAGTGTTTTATTTTAAGTAGCTGAATACTTCTTCTATCACCCACACAATGTCCTTAATACTATTTGGAAACTAGCTGTCTAAATAAGATATGTGAGAAAACAAAAAAACAAAATGGATAAATGTAATGTTTATCTATGCTTGATAATAGTATAATATAGAAGACCAACAAGTGGAAACATGCATTACACAGTTGTTATAGTTATATATATATAGTTATAGTTGTTATATATACAGTCTATGATTACATCTTACCGAAAAAAGATAAAAACACAGGATTTCAACCTATTATAACTTCCAGATTAATTAAAAATGTCATTTAATAAACACTAAAACTAATGACATGTTATTTCACACTCATATAAAAAAAAAAAACACAAACGTGGCCTCTAGGAAAGCACATTTATTTGCAAACCATCAAAAATATCTGATACATTACAGTATGTTTTTTGAAAAAATATCCCTTTACTTGCCCACATAACATAGCTGTAGTGTAATATCATACAACTGGAAGTTATTGGCTTAAAGACAACCTCAATTCTTATTGCAGGTAGAAGCTGAAACACCTGGAGGTAAGCTTACGTTTCATGCATAATGAAATTCATGACAACAAAGTTGGAGCACTGAAATTTGAAATAAAGATAAAACAGAGCTGTGAGTGTTCTCAGGTTCATCAGAAATTGAGAGAAAGCTAAAAATGGGGCCTAGTTGTTAAAAATACAAGCTGAGTCCAAAAAGGTCCTGTCTGTCATTTTTTGTGTTTGGATTCCAGCAGCTCAAACTTGAAACTTGCATGTCTTTGCTGTAAGTTATTTTAGTTTAAGTTACAAGTCTCACATCAATACAAATGTTATTAGTGTTAAGTCTTTAGTCTTCAATTTTAGCGGTGGCAAAAGAGAAAAAAACCAGCCGGAAGATATTTGAACATGGAGAGTCACCTAAATATGTAAGGATGCCTACTGTATTTGCAGGGCAATGGAAATACTTAAAAGTTGATATTGCTCTATAATAAAACGAAAAAAAGGTTGTCAAACAATAAAATGACAATACATGTGTGTTGTATGTTTAAAAAAGTAATCCAAGGCTTCCTGAGTCAGCTAGAACCCAGAGTGTTCCATGTTGTTCAATACTTGCGTCCAAAGACACTCACCCTCCCCCAAACTTCTGCAAGGGAACAGTGTTAGAGAAATATGCATACAAAGGTCCAGCTATTGTGCAGTAAAGAGAAAATACATTATCAATCTATCTTACAAATTATTATGAGACACATTTTTATAAACAAATAACCACTTTTGTTTTTATGCTGTATGTATCTTTCTTAAGAGCGGTTCCTGGCGGGTATAGATGTGTTCAGCATTTTGTGAACTGTGTTGGAAATGGCTTAAATATAACTGTCATTGATTTATATGTAAAAGTCCTCCACTTCTGCTTTAAATCGACAAGTGCTGTCAGTAAGAAAGAGTGTACATGTTGGAATAAAAGAAAGAATAATAGGGTAAGGTTTCTCTTAGCTGGTAGACCAAGACCTTCTCAACACTTTACTTCAGCGAGTACATCTACTGGGATTAGCAAAATGCCTGCAAAGTTAACACTGTTTAACAAAAACACACTTTTCCTCCCAGATGTGCTGTTGATTCTGTCCTGAAAACCATGTGTCAGTTCTGTGCTGTCAGGGCAGCGGGGGGGGGGGCGGGGAGAGACAGGACGTCAGCGTCTCACTGCATCTGTGGACTCAGCGCTCCTCTGGATGTGGGAGATCTCCACTATGGGCCTCAGCAGCTGGAAAGCATCCTGGATGTAAGACGCACTGTTGGATGCCTGAGAGGAGGGATGATTCAAACATGTCAACACCAATTCAAAATCATTCCGAAATGGTCTTGACAGTGCCTGTAAAAGCCCTTTGGCACGAATACAGACAATCAATCTTCCTATCCTGTTACTTTCGGCTTTAGAATCATTGATTTTGTCCTTCAAGGAGAACAACATGTCTAACAATGATCTGAGATCACATGCACCATGTATTTTCCACTCTTTACTAATCTTAAGAAATTGAGTTTTTACAACTCAATATTTCCCTAAATAATCATGTAAAAGGAAGTTTTATCTTTTGCTGATGCAGTATCATCAATGGCTCATATAGGTTTTTATTTTTTGATATCCAGATGATCACAGATTTACTTCCTCTGGACTGTTCTCTGGACTGTTTGAAAATGAAATATTGTGACTTAATTTCACTGTATGTGAAGAGAGAGCCACAAACCTCTAAAAAGACTCCTGTTATCAGCGGGTTGAGGACATCTCCCTTTTCGTTCGACTGTAAAAAAGAAAGATCAAATTCGGTTGGTTTCTGATGAATTAACAGCAGCAGTGTAAAAATGAGAGAAAAGTTAGAAACATCACACTCACCCCAGCCGTTGTTAAGCAGGAGGTGAACTTCTTGGAAAGCAGTGAGATTTCTTTACACAAGACAACAGTTAACCTGAGGAAGGAAACATAGAAATACAGATGTTTAATAACAGTCCAGATGTGACTTTCTACAGTCCTGCAGGGTCCCCAAACAGAAAGGCATCTCACTGTGACAGGGCGCTGGCCTCTGTGCTGCTGTTGGAGAACAGGATCATCTCAGCCAGTTTGTGGAACAGCTCGATGGAGCGAGCCGTCAACTCTGCCAGACTCCTGATGGCTGCAGCGTGGACCTCCTTACAAATACAACACACATACAATCACACACACGAAATGGACAAGAATCAACATGAGAAGAGAAACTGTGTAGATGGAAATATTCAGCTTTCTACAAACACATCCAGCAGCACATAAGGGGTTTACATTAAAACTGTTTCACTTCCACTTCCAAATGTCCTGCCTTTACTCTGACACCCACACAAATCAAAGGTCCAATAGCAACATCTGCTAGGAGCATCTTAGCATGTGAGTAAAGGGTGGTGCAATGAGATAATTGATCAATCAAACCATTAAGTAAAATTGCCCTACATTTACTGCATCCACCATCCGACTGTTAAAAAAGCAAGTTCATCTGATAGCGACTTCAAATGGTTCCCTTCTTTTTAATATTAAATATTGATGATATGAGCATACCTCCACAGAAAGTGTTTTCTTCACACCCTCCTCGCTCCCCTCTTCTTCCTGCTCTGGTTTGGTCATGTTGGTGATCTGGCTGCAGGTGCTCCTACAGGCCTGTTGGAGGCAAGAGACCATGTGAGTAACTTCCCCAACCCAGATTGCTTTATTGTTTACCACAATAAAAACAGGAACTGCAAAATCTAATAGAATCTAAAATAACACCTGTACAACTTGTACTGCCTCAACTCTACATAACTTTTGAACCTGTAATGTATGATTATTTTCTATACTGATACATATGCCTGTTTTTTTTGTAGGGCTGCATCAAAAAGACTAAGATATCAGCCTCACAAATAATGTTCTCAACTCAAACTGAACAATCTAAAACACAGAAAAGTGTGGGTTGGTACCTTGCTGAGTTTCTCTGCTGTGGCAGTGACACTGAGACCCTCCAAGGACTCTGTTAACTCCCTCTCAAACTCTGAGCCGTCTTCATCTGGAATCAGAAATGTACAATTAATCAATACAAGTGTGTCATACATTCTGGTATGTTTGGGGCTGTATTAATGTCGCAGTGCTAGCATTTCACAGGGATTTGACCTTTCTTCTCGTCCACCTCCTCATCATCAAACTCTACCAGGGAGAAAGACTCCTTGATGAGCTCCAGATCCTCTCTGAGCTGAACCCGCTTATCTCCTGAGAGAGTGGTCAGCACTGACTTCACCTACAGGACACACACATAAAAAAATACAAAAACAAAGTCACATTTGAGGGTACTATCAGGAGAAATTAATTTCAGCCACAGCAGGTTTCATTGTACCTTAGACTCGCTCTCTCGAGACAGAATCTCCAGTGCCTCGAGGTGTGACAGACCCTGAAATTCGTCAAACAGCATCCCGTAGTGAGCGACCATCTTCTTCTCGGAATCTGAAGACTCTGTTTCTGCCGTCTGCTGCTCCTCACGCTCCTTCGCCTCCCTCAACACCTACGATGCAGAGAGAGATGAGAAGTTGAGAGAGAGTGGACAAATGTTACCCGTTAGACAATCAGGAGTTCAACTAGAGTTAGTCAGCAACTTTATTTCACTTTGGTTAACATTAATGCTGATAAAACTGATTTCTGGAATTCTGATTATTTTGTAAAGATACCTAAGTTAAAGGGGACCTATCATACAAAATGCACTTTTGTACGTCTTTTATACATGAATATCTGTCCCCGGTGTGTCAGGGAACTCACCAAGTGTCAGAAAACACAACCCTCACTCTTTTCCTCCATACCAAAATCTCTAAAAACGGGGCTGCAACGGATCTGACACAGACTGAAGTCAGAAACAAGGAGCTCCGCCTATATGGGCAACTCTCCACCTATCAGGGGAATGTAGGGTTGCCGTGGCATGGCAACAGCATGGTAACAGCATGGTAACAGCATGGTAACAGCATGGTAACAGCATGGTAACAGCATGGTAACATGGTGCTCGTGCCTCGCCCCCCTCCTTTGCCGGGGGGCGTGGTCAGCTGCAGCTCATTTGCTACAGAATCAGCCCTTGTGATTGAAGACAGGGCTGGAATAGAGCAAATAGAGCGAAATGAGGCTTGGCTAAAATGCATGATCTGTTTGGTATTTTGAAAAAAAAAACTTCACAGACATGTTTTATATAGGTATGGCCCTACAATATATTATTCAAATATAGCATGATAGGTCCACTTTAAGCTTGTTTTTATTTACATCATGTGTCTTCTTATTGGATTTATATCCATTGGAATATTTGTCTTACAGTAGTTTTACCCTATTGTTACAGTGCTTTAACAAATGGGATGAAAATGTGCTTTTCTCTTCAAACCAGCAGTTAAATCAAGTTTCTTCTTGCTAGATACATTTTGGTTCAGCTCACTTTTGATTATAAACTGATATGAAGAGGTATGTCATGATATATTATCTGTCTTTATAGGTGTTTGTCCTCCTAATGTACATGTTTGACCCCAGTATGCCCACCTGAGACAGAGTGGAGTTCCTATTCATCAGCCCTTTGGTCTTCTTGAAGCCAGGATCGCCTTCTGCTATCACATCCATCGTCTTCTTCCCGATGAACTCCAGAGCATCCAGACCGCCAGTTATCATCGTTTTCCCCTGAGAGGAGAAGGAAATACAAATGAAAGAAAAATCATCATTTCCCGAAAGCTGTATGTTGTGAGCATCCATTCACCATATAAGATCATTTTCACTGATGGTCAATTCTTATCAGAAGAATCAGAAGCAGGTTTATTACCAGGTAGGTTTACACGTACGAGGAATTTGACTTGGTGTCGTGGTGCATACATAAAAGTAAAACAAGAATGCCATGGTTGAGTATTGTGAGTCCAATATCAAAAGTCCACAAAAAATGTATGTTTTGGGACAAACCATGTTCTGATGCAAGATAATGTGCATGCATGTGTTCCAATGGTTACACTAGGTATTAAATAAAGACACATAAACACTGTTACCTTCCCCATTCCTACTTCTATTTGTACTGTATACAACTGTTACTACTATTTCAACTCTACCATATGAAACTGGATATTTCAGATTCAAAAATATAAACTTCTCCTTCCTGAGTCCAAGAACAGTGGATATTCCTGCTTACTGTGCTCTGGACGACGCTAGTGAGCGAAGACAGCATCCCAAACGCACTTTCCACCGCCGCAGAGCCATCGCCCGGCACTCTGTCCGTCTCACTGATGGATTCAGCTTCAGGAAGAGCAAAAAAAAAAACATTATACAAGGCTAAGACAATATGGAGAAAAGGTGGGATGTGTTGTCATACAGTAAAGCCCCACCTTGCTCCTTCTGCTCTTCCTCTACTCGCGCTGAGAGTTCGGTGGGACTGGGGATTCCCAGCGATGTCTCAGCCTTCTCTATCACCTGAGTGAGGCCTTGGCCTGGATGGACAGAAGAGATGTAATGGTTAAAAACAGAAATGTGGTGAGTTTAAACCCTAAACATGTGATAATTAGACTACTGGCTGTAGTTCTCAGAGTAGATAACTGAAAAGACCACCATGAGCATTGTGTATATGGTGGTCTATACTCACCCACAGTGGCCACAGTAGCTGTTGCTGTAGATAAGATGGTTTTCCCCCAGCTGCCCCAGTATCCCCAGCCACCCTGAGACACCGTGGACTGACTGGGTGTCTGAGAGAGAGGAAGACGGGAAAGAAAGGGCAAAAGAAAAGGAGGAGGTGGAAAAGAAAAGACAGAGAGAAAAGTTGCAAATGAGTAAGAAATCAATTACTTCAGTGCGAAAGTGATCTTTGGTGTCTTAGATTTTGCTTTAGTAAAAGAACACTACAGCATCTTGTTTAAAACACATTTATAATACTCAGTGTAGAGCCAGGAGATGACTTGAGATGGTTTTAAATCAGCCTCTCCTTTTAGAATACTTAAGTACCCAACAGTATCTGTCCCAGACATCATTTTATTTTTACGTGGCCTAGCCTCACCATAATCGTCAGGCTCAGAAAATGTTACCAAATGTTTGTCTTTTTAATGGCATATGCTCTCATACAATTAGCATGTATTTCTAGTATAAACAATAATTATCTCACCGGTGCCTCTGCGGGCTGCTCCTCTACTTTCGGCTTCTCCTCGACTTCAGCTACTGGTTGGATTTCTGGTCTCCTCCTGGCTTTCCTCGTCGGGGCAACGTCAGTGGAGTTGTCAGGAGTGGTCGGTGAGGATATGTCAGGGGTTTCTGCAGGAGAGCCATCCTCTGTAGGCATCTCTGGAGCGGCTGGAGCTTCGCTGTCTGACATCTCAATGTCTTAGTACATGCCTTTAAAGTGAAAATATAACAATTATAACATAATATTTTATGTTTAAGGAAATATCCAATCAGTCTCAATTGTTATATCAAGCCACTTAATTCCAGTTGTTACTTTACAGAAAGGGTAATTCACTGTTTTTGTGAAAACACTTTCCTTCAATCAGTGATAACATACATTTCCCAGAATGCATTTCCTCAACACCCAGGGAACAGCAGTCAACTAAGCAGTCAGTTATCTGTGCAGCTGCAGAGTGTCAGTTTAAAGTTCATTCTGGGATTTATTTCAGTCAAACTACAACAAAAGGTGTCCACATTAAGTGGTAAGTACAGTATCTCTTTGCATGCTAATACACATCAGGAATAAGAATCGATGTTATAATGTGTATAATATGAAGCTTACATTCAGTGACATATTCCTTGGACAATTAGCAATATGGTTGTATTAGTTAAATTGCTATTAATGCTTTACATTGAGATGCTAATATGTTATGTTAAGTAATGTATATAAGTACAGTCCATTTAATGTCTATTTGACAGAATGACTAGAAGAAGCGCACGTTTAAAACATATAACGCTGTTTGTATAACTATAAACACATACTTTAGTGGAAAAACAACACGCTGATACACTTTAGCTACACACACTGATATACAACACACATTGATTCACTTTAGCTACTAACTCACCTTGTTGCTGTCAGTGTTTTGATGCTAGCAGTTAACCCCAGCCTGCTCACCGTTTCCTTCCCCAAATCAACAGCACGATAGGTCTGCCTCTTATATTTCAGTTTGCACCTGTCTTTCTGCACCTTTAACGCCTTTTAGTTTTCCCGTAAACAGTTATTGCTTCAGGGTTTCTCGTTCTTTTTGTCCACAAGGATTAGCCACGTCACATTTTGTTTTTACTGACCAGTAACTGACAGTTAGACACAATGAGAAGAATAGCTTCCGGCTGACTTTTCAAAACAAAAGTTGGTGGTTAAAAACAGAGGTCAAAGGGTCCGTGTAAGTATTCTTGTAAAGCGATTCCATCCAACGAAACAGATTGAAAGACATCTTCATATCAAAATATGTCAAAGATGTCCTCTTTTTATTTTATTTCATAGAATGAGATATTTACTCAAATGCCTCTTTCCTTCAACATATTATTTTATTTTCCAAGCGTTGGAGGTGTAACATTTTATTTTGAAGAAAGTCAAACCGTAATGCCGGTCATTGCATAAATTAGTTTGATGCAAGAAACTACTAAAATACAGTCAAATCAAAACAGTACTTCCGGAACGGTATTTTTTCACAACAAAATTACAGTAAGGAAAAAATGCTCAAGGCACAAGGCATTAATGTGTATTAGTTGTATATTCATTTATTCTCGAAAAAATGCTAACAATGTGCACTATCCTCAAAACGTTTAACTTGATGGCAAATACAAATGGATTACAGTATTATATGAACATGTTATCATTATTAATTATTAGTAGTTATCATAACACAAGCTGTACTTCCGCATGTCATCTTTCCATTAGCAGGTACAATCATGGATGTATAATAAGAAAAATCCTATCACCCACCTTCTCCTGCTGCATCTTGGGAGAATTGCCAACAATTTAGCCACACCCACTCCCTCTTACTTGAAGCAGGAAGTAGACGGACCGGACAGGCAGCTCGTGTCTGCTTTGTTCTAACAATTGCGTGTTAAAACTGAGTAACATACTTTAAAACTAAAAGGAATATATTCCAGTTATTTTTTTGGATGTCTATATCGTTCGAGGATTAGTTGGTTTGGTCGCTGTCCGAGCAGCAGGTGGGAAACATTGTGAATGTTGTCAGTTTAGGTTCTTGAGAATTTGGTGATTCTGTTTAAGGTTTTTCCTTCAGTTAAATGCACTAAATACACACATAGTATTCCAGCTGAGCTTGACATACTGTTGTTGTTACTTGATAACTGTATTATAAACTGATTGTTTACCCTACTATTCCTCTCACATAACACCAAAGCATACATGTACCGTAGGCCTATGTACGGCAATACTACGCTGAGTTATGATATAGTGATACGTCTCCTATGTTATCACCCTATACACGACTGTGCTCCCTAGACATCATCTTAATCAAATTATTTTTAGTTTAAAATAAAGAAAATTAAATCTAATTAGATATCTAAATATGATTGTAGTTAAAAATGGTGATGGAAAAAGCAAAGGCAACAAATGAGTGGTAATTATTGAAGAAGAAAAAAATGTCTGTCTTTTTATATCATAAAGTTTTGGCCTTGAACGTCTAGATGTTAATATTTGGTTTACATTTGTCACTAAAAAGGGAATAGGCCTACATGAAAGAAGATGTTGTGAAAATCCATATGTCCATATGTTAACATACTGAACTGTAGAAAGATGAAATGTCAATGATGGATTCTATAAAGATTGTTCTAATATGGACATGACTCTTATGAAGACACAAAAAAGTAAGTGTTTAAAACCCTGCGTTGCTGCGTGAAACATAACCGTAGAGTCTTCCTGTTTTGCAGGTTCTTCTCATCTAAATGTGAGCTGAAGCTCTAACTCTTTCCGACATGTTGCCACCTCAGAGACGCCACCTGTCTCACCTGCTTCTCACAGTCCTGCTCTTTGGTGGCTGGGCAGCAGACGGAGCTCAGAATGGGTCAGAAGCGGAGGCGGTGCCGGTGGCGGTGCCGGTGGTGGTGCCGGTGCCCCTCATGCGTCTAGTCATCCTCTCCAGCGGGGACATTGTGGTGAATGAGGGAACCACCGCGCTGATAGAGTGTAATGTGACCGGAGGCTACAATGACACCAAGTGGTTCAACTCTAATGGACCTCTGCTGGGTAAGGACTGAGGAGAGGGGAGGAAATGCTGTGCTGAGAAAGGGTTCATGAAGAACATTGAGTTCTTTAGACCCATAGTTGTTTTTTATATTTAAAAAAAGAAAAAAATACACTCCATCTTCTTGTGTTTTTTATCAAGACCTGAAATCTGTCATTACTGCCTGCCTCATCCTTAATGTGCATGTGCATTGTTCTGAAACTGTTTTTTCAACAGAGATTTGTCAAAAACCCTACTATGTCAACAACATACTTACTTAACACTACACTGGAGAAGCATTGATGTTCTGAAATCTATAATCAGACCAGTATGCAGATCAAAATCAAATTGGTGATACAGGGTCCCACAATTTAATGAAGTTAGACTCAATCACTCTTTCTTTGCACCAGCCAATCCTTAAATTGAATGCAGTCAATTCACGGTCAAATGTATGTTAAAGATTCTCGAACATATTGTGCTCTGTCATTGTAATGTTATGTTAAATCAAGAACAATGTCAAGCTTGCTCTGACAATAATGTATTATCGTATCGTGAACCACTTTTTTCTTAATCCGGTGTACTTATTTAAATGATATTGAGAAATGAGTCCTTATGGGGTTTGTTGACCTATGTAAATGTTTGATGCTGTGTTACTACAGTGAAGGGGATGAGCTGTTAAATTCAGTTCACATTTCTTTCCAAATCACGGTTTTAGAGTTAAAAAAAAAAACCTTGTCTTTTGTGTTCCGCCTTCAGGTGAAAAATGGCAGATTCAGGAGAATGGAGCTCTGAACATCACTCTGGTCTCCTTCAATGATCGTGGCCGCTTCACCTGCGTCACCACCAGTTGGACAGGCGAGACTAAAAACTACACCGTAACTATTCGTGTTGCCCACAACAGCAGTGGCCTGGGCCTGTACTTCGTCATCGTCTGCCTGGTGGCCTTCGCCATCACCGTGCCCCTCAACATAGCACGTCTTTGCATGGTCAGCAGCCACCTCAGGAAGACCGAGAGAGCCATCAACGAGTTCTTCCGCACCGAGGGCGCAGAGAAGCTGCAGAAGGCGTTGGAGGTCGCCAAGCACATTCCCATCATCACGTCCGCCAAGACGCTGGAGCTCGCCAAGGTCACACAGTACAAGACCATGGAGTTCGCTCGGCACATGGAGGATCTGGCTCGAAGCGTTCCTTTGCCGCCGCTCATCCTCAACTGCCGCACGTTCTCAGAGGAGGTCGTGGACACGGGGAACAAAGGGGCTCAGGGTGAGACATCGTTGTCTGTGATCAGACCAGATCTAGGCCATGAGGAGGAGGAGGTTTGCCAGGCACTACTGTCAAGTGGACGCCACACTGAAGGTGACTTGGATGTCAAAGTTTCGATCCACACAGTTTCTGATGAGGATGCTGAGATGGGCCTACGTTTGCCTGGCTCACGAACAAGTGTGTCCTATGAGAGCAACATATAGGCATAGCTCTTAGATCGGTCAGAAATAAAACACATCTTCAGAAGTGTTAGCTGTCCAAATGCAAGGGTTTAGAATACATTTGAAAAAGAAGAAACATGAGCAAATTGGGTTGAAAATTGAGGTTTGTTATCATTAAGATTTAGTGAGTCTGGTTTTGCTTGTTGAAAGAACAGCTCTAGCATTTTTTCTGTCTGTTTTCCACTTTGTTTTCTGTGAGATGGGCATCCTCACTACAAAGGATTTTATACAATATGACTACAACTGTGGCGAACCAAATATCTGCTGAGTCATGTTCATCCTCCCTTCTGCATGAAAGTATTTCCATGCAGGGATGACATTTGACTAGAGTCATTTGCCACATTATTAATACTACACGCTTTACCAGTGATTTTCAACAGGTCAAATGTTCAGAAACCAAAAAGCTGTTTCAGAACTAATTCTTGTAAACTCCATCAACATAGCTCAGAATTTGACAATATATAGCTTCATTCTTTATGTTTCAGGACAAAAAGTTGTAATAAAATATTGTCATTTCATTGTGTTGATTGTTTTCATGTCACTGCTTCCTGTCAATCATCTGACACTCACTGTAAGAAGTGGAAGACTTAGAAATGATGCCTCAATAACAACAAGTCCCTTTGACGTGGATGTTTCAAAGGCAGCAGAGGAACTGGAATGTACAAGTGATTACACGGCTTCAATGTCTAATGAAATGGAAAATGTTTGAAACATTACTATGCAGGTGTAATCTATCATATTTTGATAAATGCATGCCTGTATAAGTCAGGGACTCTTTTTCTTGATGATGGTGGTGCAGCGTTTCCTCTGCATTGCTCATTTTGTACATGTTCTTAAGTAGTTTCCATGTGTAATGATAAGAACACAGTTTGTCCATATACTGGGTAAGGTGTCTCCTCATACAAATGTGTCCTCAATAACAGCGGCACCTCTACATGGGGTCAAAGGCTCAAGAAACTGAGATTTGTTTCAGTAAAATTAGACTATGAAGATGTTTATAATGAGCTTGTTTATGCTTTGGAAGTTAAAGACAAAATAGTCATTTAAAAAGATGACATTGTGCTTGTAGAAGTGGTTGATAAGTTTTATAACAAACAACAATGTTTTAGCCATAGACACAGCTCCACAGATGTGTTCCTGTATCTCGGGAGTAAAACATGTATATCAGTTACGTGGATGGGACAAGAGTTTGGACGATTTGTGTTTTGTCATACTGTTTATTGGTTGTGATATTCTTTTGCCGAGTCTTGTAATTGTTTATGTGCTGTTGTTGATGTGAAGGTGTAATCATTTAAAGATGTGTAAAATGGGTGCTGAAAAGGTCATTTGCAGGGATCCAAAGCAACAGTTTCCTATAAGTAATAATCATTAAATAAATGCAATAAAAAACATCCAAATGTTAGTCTGGTGGTTATTTCTGCCCGTTCAGGTAACACTGCAAATAACCCACTGGGGGGGGATGTTGGGTAAAAGTTCACTTTCACAATCATCAGCTATAATAATATTGGCTCATTCACCACCCAAAAAGCTCCTGAAAGGTCATTTTACACATAATGTGCGATATCTTTGTTAAAGAGACAACAGAAGAGTGATTTAATGACCAGAGTTATGGGACCTGTTTGGCTGAATCATCGAAAGTAGTTAGACAATCTTAAACTGTTGTACATCTTAGTTTGACAGATGTCATAAAAGGGATAAAGCTAGAAAATGCCAGTGTAATATTTGTAATATACACAGTCCAATGTATACCAGAGCATCATTATTTATTTATATACACACAAACTTGAAGATACACATTTATTTCCCTAAATATTTCCCTGAAGCAACTGCTTGCTCCAACACTGTATGTACATGTATGGCATTTTTGGGCTATTGCACTGGAAGAAATCAACACTTACATAACTTTTCTTTAGGTGTCATTTATCTGCAATAACACACTACCAATTAGCATATTATTTAATTACCCCTCTTATTAGAACATGATATACTGATGTTTTATTTAGCTCATCCTGTACACAGCTGCTGTACTCGCAGTACTTTCTGAGAGGTTAATCTCTTAGAAAACAGCTATCAGTCTGTCCTACCTGAACATCAGGTTGGAGAGCAGCCACAATAACAATAACCTTGGGCCTGTGTTGAATACCTCAACAAATCCATCCTTCTTCCCTTTCCTGTCCTCTCTGGAGGGAAGCTTATCTAAATAGAATTGATTGGTCAGAGCGATCATTCATCATGCCGAGCCAAAGCAAACATTCAAATAGAAGGGGGAGAAAGATTTTAGGGATAGGATATTTCTAGTGGTCTCTGTCATCAAAGTTAACCAATGTACCATTCTAAAAAGGACTGAAGGTGCATATGGATGTGTGTGTGTGTTAGAGTAAATATAAAGAAGAATATAAAATAGATTAAGTAGCTTGAAGGACATATCTATAGCAACTTGTTTGTTAATTTGCAACTTGAGTGTGTTTAAATGCAAGACAGGGGCTTCCAGAGACTGGATGTGTCTTGTAGATAAATGAATACAACATGTGCATGCAGTACATTTTGAATTTAAATTTAAATTGCTCATAAACCTAGGTCATAAAAAACTGTGGTTGATTACATTTTATTTTCAATCACCCTGAAGGAACGAGAAGAGCCAAGGACAGCAGATGATAAATTAATGACACAATGAGAATAGTGCTTGTCATTACTGTTCATAGACAAGAGGACACGGTGTAGATCCTGCAATAGTGATTAGTTTGGCTGTTCTGGCGCTGTGTGCGTATGAGTGTGCGTTCACTTTAGTGATTTCTTGGCATGTTCCCAAACACAATGTTCCCTTTCTTAGCTTAGAGCTGGATTGTCTTGTAGACTGAAGGACAAACAAACACTCCAAAGTTTTCTTTTCTCTGTAACAGCAACAGATAAATTGCTTTACTATCGTTGCAGAAGATTGGTCCATCTTTAGAATCTAAGTCTTCACCTTCGCAAAAGCTCAACTTCCCTGATAAAAAGCATTCCCAAAAGTACATTTTGAAAAGTGCTCAATAAATAAAGTGTACATTCTCAGGTATGTTTTGGTTTAACATAGAAATAGCTTAAATCAAAGTGTTTGCTTTCAGTGAGCAACCTATTTACGACCAATGTAGGTTTCAAGCTTGTTTGTCCTTATTTTTAGATAACCTCCGCCAAAAATGTGGACCCACGAAGAGTCCATCGAGGTCGAGCAGCACATGTGCCAACAATAGGGCAGAGGCACTGTGGCTGACCTGATTCTCTGTAGGGTCTCGCAGCTACAAACAGCCTGCTGTCAAGCACTAATGGGAAATAATGGGTGAAGCAGCATCACAGTGGCAGGCTGGGCTGCTGGGGACCGGGTGAAGGTATTGGGGTCACGTCCTCTCATGGCTCCTTGGATATTAGACAGATATTTAACGCACAGACAGAAAACATCAGGAGGGAGAGTGGCGAGCAATGATGTCGCCCAAATTAGGTCGCATGGAAAGGTTCTGACTACGAGGAAGTCAGTGTGAGATTAGTGTGTCTTTAAAGCCCTGAAGGATGTTGGAGGTCAAACATTGGACCACTGCAGCCTGAGATTGTTTTGGAAACATAATCATCACGATGCAACTTGAAGGCTTCTGGTTAGGTCTGGGTGGTTATTTCCCAGCCATTTTCCTTCCTTTCAGCACATGTCACGCTACAAAACCTAGAGAGACAAATAAAATCTTCTCATCTTGGATTGTGGCCACTTTTTGAGTGCACAGACAAACATACCTTGCATACACATGGACCTAGGTAGTTATTCTCTCATTTTGCTCAAATTAACATTTCCAACATGCATGTTAAATGATAGAACTTTTTTCTTACTTTAATGAAAGAGTAGTCAACTGTACAACTGCTATGTACAGAAAGATATCTCCATGGCACAATGTCCGTTGCCATGCCTTTAAGTAAATAGTCTCTAACTAGCTCACAATAATTCAGAAAATACTTGACACACTATCTTGCAAGGGCCTATGTGTAAGGCTTATTTTTTTGTCACCATACACTATATTCTAACATCAACTATTTAAAGTTATTGGCAGAATATTAATTACCCACTGTGATCCTGAGCTCCGAGTTCCTCCTCAACGTTGATTTTGAATAAATAGAAGTCAGAAAACTAAAACAAAAATACGTTGTTGAAGTGTTCCAGAGTTCAGTGGAAATAATTCAAGACTATGAAACAGCTAATTGGCTTTATGGTGAAGTAATAGATTCAGAAAAACAAATCCACTTTTAATGGATATTAACAACAAACATCACTCTTGCATCTGTTGCATGTCAAAACAATACGTGCTTTCCTATTTTTATTGAAATACAAACAGATTAAAAATAAAACACAGGCTTATATTATGAAGAGACAAAGGATAAATAAGAAATGACTTACTTATCAAGTGCCATAGTCCCTAAATGTATTTAAAAAACCATTAGAGTGTTCTGCAAATGGTAAAAAAAACATTTTTCAGGAATAACATACCCTATTGTACAGACACACTCACATTGTGGATCTATTTTAGAAAAGTTATTATCAATTTTAAAACATTGCGGATAATAGAAGTTCATTTTGATCCAACCCTCGCTGTCACTCACTTCCCTCTCTAAAAGGCAGGGATAGCTTTATCTTCTGAGCCCATTGTGTTTGTTTGTTTGTCTGAATCAAAAGCTTAAGGTATTAATAAAAAAACTTTTTCTTCCAACTTCAGAAAGTCAAAAGACAATAGAAACTTGAGCAGGAAATTGCCTCCACTCTGGAGTCCAGGTTTGCTCTTTCCACTGAGAGCAATCCGAGTCAGAAATGAACAAAGAAACCCTGCTGCAGCTTTTAATTTGTTGCGTTATGTGAGTCAGACCATGATTAAGTGCCTTCAATTATGGCTCTGGCTTCTGTAGAAATTGCCCCAAAGGTCCTTCATTTTCATTATCTTTTTTGAGTTCAAACACAAAAGGCAATTGTGTATGTATACTGTATATTTTTGTGAAGGTCCTCTGCTCAAGCCTGCAATTCAAAATGTTCATTAAATATATCAAGCGGCTATTTTTCGATTTTGGCCTTGATCCAGACAAAGTCTGGCCTTTCATTGTGTTCATTTTTTTAATATTCAAACAGCCCATGCCATTTTATTTACAACCTACAGACTTCACATCCTGTTCACCTGCAGCTTCCAGTCTCCTGTGCCTAACTTCAACCAAGTGCCTAAACATAGCCAATAGAAAAGTTTGATAATGCAGGATCAGCTCTTGGATTAAAAAATGTGATCTTTTAGAAATAAAACACTTCTATTATCCAAACAAACTGATGTATTCAGAAACAAGCTTTATGCTATATTTTTATTTGGGTACATTGACCTAGGAAAAAGGGATGTTTTTCACTGTCAATGTTTAAAAAACGTGTTTTCAGATCTCGCAGCCCAATCGTCAGAACAACAATTTATCAGAGTTTTCCAAAACAGGTGCCTGACCATTTGAGTGTTTTTTCAACTGCCAACTTTTGTGGTTACGTTTTTGAAAGATATTGTGTTCATGAAAATCAACACTGATTCTTGGTAAGAGCCAGGATTTGAAAATAATTATATGTGACAAAGACAAATAATCTAATCATCAATCTAATCTAAATTGCTCTTTTATCCAACCACCCACCCTCACCGTGAAGAACCAAAGGAAGATATAATCACACAACATTGATTCTTCCACTTCTCACTCTTTACTGAGGCTGTGCCAATGCTGGAAAGCTAGCAAGTTGCTTGCTTATTAGCAAACACTGATAAAGTAAATAAGTACATTTACAACATCCAGCTATGTATATAACTTGTTCTGTGTTCAATAGGTCTGCAGGGTAAAAGGCTTTGTGGTGCGCTGACACTGCTTGTTCTGTAAGGGAGACAGCAGTCATCATTTGCACAAATACATAGGGTTGCTTTCAAGTAAAATGTGTTCATTCCTTTTAAACATCAAATAACATTATGATAACATGTTTTGTGTGTACTGCCATTTAGTAAGGAAATTACTTTTATAGGACATTTGGACTTTTATTTGTAGATAACATAAATATAGCCAATTCGATTTTAATGCAAACTCAAACTAAAGTATAATGATGAAAGTCTTGGCTAATAGGAGAAAGTGTTATGAAGTCTATTTGAATTAGTTTTTCTATCGATTAGTTTAACAAACACACACGAAGATAGTGATTGCTTTGTCGCTGTGCATTTAAAATGTACTTTTAATTTACATTACATCGATTTAACAACTCACTTTTCTTTCCCCTATAGCTAAAGGACCATTCGCACTAGGAACTTGGTATCAAACTACCAAAGTTTCATTTATTGAATGACCTTCACTATTAACTGAGTAATATCTGCCCCATATTGTTTCATTTTA